TAGTCTTGTCAGAGAAATGAGATGTTTACATGAACGTTTTAACTCTACAATATTTGTTTGTTGTGTTAAAACTTGAAATATCTGAGCTACAGGGGTTCTGATGTATTACATATGACAGACATATGCCCGTTCGGTTACGTTGGGCTGTCTTATGCACAATAATAGTCAAGTGCTGGGTTTGCCGTGGCTATCGTTTGCGCTAAAGACCCGGCACGTATAGTCATTTACCTATTTTACCACCGCAACAACCTGAATATTTTCTTCTGGGCATTTAAAAAATATATATTTCAGTACTTTTCTACGTTAATCACGAACAATTAATTTGTTTTAAAAAATTCCAAGAAAAAATTTCAATATCTGTGCACTCCATTGCGTAAAGTCCGTATCGTGTGTTGTACTAGTACTGCGGCACTTGTATTATACACCATGATAGCGTATGAGACGTTAGTACTCTGCAGTAAATGGCGTTATTCCATTAAGCCGTAAGCGTTCCTTCACCTCTACATGCACGAACCTCGGAGTCATTTAGCAATTCGAACGCTGGTCTTCATCCGAAAGCATGTGTCACTGTGAACCTCATACCGTTGGCGTTCACAACACAGACGACCTTGGAACGTGAATGGGGTTCAAGGACTCACGGCGACAAAGACCTTCTCCACGTGGAGGCATGAAGCAAATGATCACAAACACTACCAGAGAATTATGGCTCCAGAAAGCCTTTCAACTTCGTCACTGAGATGAAATTTCTTAATCCTGCTGGGCGGCGTGGTTCCTTGGTGACGTGACTAGGCACGGTTTTTCTAGAAGATTATTATTTTCTTTCTATTCTACTACAATGATACGAACTTCTGAATAATTCTATTAATGGCTCCAGTAGCGGCCCGTGCTTAGGTTGCATGGTTGCACTACCCCCAGATATAATCGAAAAAGATGTCTTAATATCTTAAGAATATACATTTTTCTTTTAATTTAAATATTCAAGTTACTGCAGCAATATCGATGTAAATGAAATAGTTTTGAAACCAATGAACGTCCAACTGCCGCTCTCCCCGGTCCTTGGTGCCTTACCAGGTATTGCACCACGTTCTTGGATCTTGGCTGTATTACTGCGATTGCTGCATTTACTCTTTGGCCCTTCGATTTAACACGGGCAACATAGGGTCTTTTGGTTGGGAAACCAGAGATATGGCGCTGTCTGAAGCTGTTATGGGGAAGAAAGGAGCCTCGGGAGAACACCAGAAATCTTCATCTGGCTCGCTGAGACGTAATTTTATGAATTTCGCTTCTATTGAAAGTAGACGAGTTCAATCAATTATTGTCATTTAATGCATTATTTATGATATATAGAAATTTTTTCATTTGCTATTATATTTACTCATTTAAAATGTACACTTGATGAATTCTTTGTGTTAAGTTAGTCGATCTGGAAGAAGTCCCTTTCTCGGTAGATTCTGCAGGTTTCAGTTACACCACGGAGAGCGCTGGTGGAATATGAGCGTGTGTGTGGAAGGATCTTTGTCACAAAGTATACCAGGGTAGTAATATTTTTGAAATAAAATAATTTTAAAACGTTTAGAAGCATTAGTGTTTGTTGCGATGGGCTGGAGTCGAACTTAGTGTCCAGTGGAAATCAAAGCCAGAACCAAGTGCTTGGGAGGTGTATATGGGTCTGTACCTTACTCGGTCACGAAGCATACAATTATGTGAGTAATGATTCAATATAGATTTTTATTTAACATACGTTTCAATTTATTGGAATTGCTTACATTTTTATTATATTTTCGCATTTCGAATTTTAGAAATTTCATTTCCCAAATGCGATGGAGGAGCAATCTTCAGTCTCTTGGGCACCAGCCGCCACTGAATGGCTTTGTGAAGTAATATATTACTTACAAGAGAACTTTCCTATTCCACAAACCAAAATAAAATAACGTTAATTGATTACGGATTACGATATATATATATATATATATATATATATATATATATATATATATACACACGTCATTCCAAAATATATTTTGCTTCAACTGGCACCAATCAAAAATAGGGTTAATACGAAGAACATGAATCTGTTACTTCTTCTAATCATTTAAAAAATCAAAACGGTTGCTAACGTTTGAAACGTTCCGCAGATCCAGAACTGTCCTGAGGAAAAAAGAATTATTCATATCTGTACAATAGTGACGTAGTGACGATGACGCTTGGGCCATTTGGCCTACACTTCAATATTGTGTATCCAATATTGTACGTATTGCAAATAAATATTAGTAAGAATTCAAGTAAATAAATACTGTAGCTATCAATAAAAATGTACCAATTTACAAAAATTTATTGTATAGCACATTGATATTTCACACCTAATTATTTATGAAAGAGATATTATTGGTGTGAATTACAATCAATAGATAACTGTGGCAGAGGGATTCATATCCTATGTGTCTTGATAGTTTTCCACTCTGGAGCCCGGAAATCTTCCTGAACGACTGAAATCTGATAGGTACAATACACATCATCTTGCCCGTCACTCAACCACGGAAGTAAAGTTGCTAGTTGAGTAAAAATGTTCAAAGAGGCTGCGTCTTAATACAATGACTGCGTCCATTCAAACGGTAATATTTTCAACCCAAATGCCCACGCCTACTCTTACACTCATGGTGGCAATCGCTACATTAGCTGGTTTACATGATAAATTGAAGACTTGCTGAAATATATTATATCTTCTTTATAATAATAACAATAACAATAATATCAACAACAATACTTGTTTAGATTATTATCAAATTTTCTCTCCGGGTTGGAACTAGTTTTCTTAGAAGCAGACGTAGGGGCTATCGGTTCCTCTACAAAACTCTGAGCAAAATGTGGACAGTTCCAAATCATTGCCCTCCCCAGCAATTTGGATCTCCTGGGAGTTTAGCCAAGCTCTTACACAAGTTTTGCGGAACAAATTCCTGAGATCCGATATCCATCGCCATGAGCTATACTTTTAGGTCTCCCATTCGGCTGATCCCAATTTCCAAATCCTTGTATTTAAGACGCTTCTCTGCTTAAATGGTTTCGACGTTTTGATCGCAAAGCACATCTACAAGTAGATAAGATTTTTCTCAAAATCTTGGATAACGATATCCGGTTTGTTTGTCGCTATCGTGCGATCAGTTAGGAATTGTTGATCTTACAGCATTGTACAAAGTCCAACAGACCTAACCGGTTTTGGCGAATGTTCGTACCACTTGGAGCATGTGTTTGGAAATTTGTGGGCGGTACGATTTACCAGTAGAGGTAACAACACATGCCGTCGCGTCTTTTTAAGTATTAGGTCGTTGCTAGAATTGGACAAGCTGAGACAATACAATCAATGGTTTCTACTTGTTCCTGGCAAAACCGGCATTTATCATCTTGGGAAATTTTGAGAACCACTTTATTTTAATGTCATGTTCTCAACGCTTTATCTTGAGCAGCTATTAAAACTACTTTCAATTATGACTTCACTCATTCCCTCCTAGGTGACATAAATGATTCATATTTATTGATCTGCACCTGGTGCATTATTTTTCTACTTTGTTCATGAAGTGGAGTGCCTCTCCACGATTTCCTTTACATTTTTTATGTCTCGCATTTCATGTTACATAGCAACAGACGTTGAGTGTCCGTGTTATTCTGCGTGTCTTGCATAGTTTAATTTACAATGCTTATACTTACAGTGCCTCTGTTTCTCATTCTTCGATTTGATTTAATGACCAGCCTCATCAGTGGATCATCTTGATGACCGATACTTTTCCATTACATCTATTGCACTGCACCAAAAGACATCAATTTGTTTGAAAATTCTTCTTCCTTCCTTACGTAACACAGAGTCTACGCAGTTGAGCTCGTGGTAGGGCAACACAATGCACTGTAAGCAGTTTTATGTTTATTCGATCCATGATTCGATTTTGTTGCGCAGTGCAGTTCATTAGTTCGAAACTCTACTCGACACCAGCAAACTATTATGAAAAATGTGATTTATATTTTTTTTAGCATTTGCATAACTTGAGCTTGCAATTATGCATTTTATAGAAAACATTTTGTAAAAAATCACTCAATAATTCTTTGTTTTTTTTTACTTACAGCTTTAAGTTTGCAAGGAACGCTTAAAAGAATGGCGCAGGTTTAATTTCCGTTGCTCTCTCTGGATTTTAGAAAATTGCAACTTTAAAAATAATGCGAGAAAATACGTTCCATCACTAATCAATGTTGTACCATCACTAATTTAATAAAGAAATGAATTACAACAATATTCAACCCGGTAGACGACGTCGCTAACATCAAGTGCCAGCTGTCTTTGTTAGCTGACGCGTTGGAATCCCAAATATGATCGTTCCCTGACGCGGTTGTTTAACTTATTGTTGTGGGGTGATTGGCTTTCCCACTTATACGTATCACCTGGTCAACAATATTCTTTCCTTCTTATTCCGTCCGGGATGCGAAGAAGCATGCTTCTGAGACATCTACGCGTGGCACTCGCACTGTGACTTTCCTGCTTGCACTGGTTTTTGGACATGATGCGACTGTTCCTAACCATCTGGCAACACCCTAGAGCTTGGATCCCTCCTCTAGACTCATACCCACTACCCGATATCGGATCGCTGAGCTAAGTCGGGCCAAGACATCTTCCCTCTATTAAGAAAACAAACACTGATATGAGCCGAGAAGCAACCTCCAAAAACCAAGGAGGGGTGGGTCCCAAACCGACACTAAGTTGAATGAACTCCTCACAGAAAGGGGGACGGGCCATTTTTCGGGAACTCTCGGGAACTATGTAGACTTGAGTGGTGTCAGGACGAGCAGCGCAGAGCAAGGCACTCTGAGGCTCGATAGACTCAAGTGCACTAATTCGAAGATGTGTGTACATGAATAAATAATAATAATAATAATAATAATGATAATAATAATAATAATAATAATAATAATAATAATAATAATAATAATAATAATAATAATAATGTGATGTTTTGCAGTTTATCCTCGGGAGCGGCGACGTCACTCACAATGCACGTCCTGGCCCTGGCTCTTGCTGCGTTAACAGCCTTCGGCGAAGCAACGCCCCAACCACCATTTCGCACTTTCTCCAACCTTAATTCGTCCCATCACCTCCCCTCACTCACTCTGGACGCGGCCACGAGGCTGCGAGATCGGCGATCGGCTTCGCCAAGCAAGGAAGGTGTTATTTCTGCCACTCGCAAATTCAAGCGATCCACTGACGGCAGGTTAGTAATGTGGCCAACTGCCATCTAACGATTGCAAGACCCATGCGAGCATTGGGTTTAGAAGGTAACGGGGGTACAAAAGAACGTAACTCATTTACTATACAAATTGCACTTATTCAATATTTTTGAAAAAATGTTTTAGTATCTTAATAATAAATAAAAAACAAAGTTGGCCATTTGTTCATCTCTAAATGTTTTTCAACGATCTGTTGTCCACTAGATTCCATTCGCTAAATGAACAAAAATAGGAAAGAAAATAGTGAAATGAGTGGGCAATTGTTGAAACTAGACATTCAATGTTATTGCATTTCAACATCATGCTGCACTCTTTTCGATTTTCACCATTTTTTCATAAATGTTAAGAATGGAACATTTGGTGCGATTAGTTTTTAGTAGTTATATTTACTTTTTTATTACAGAACGTCTCTTTCTCTCGTTTCTCTTTCTCCTCTCTCTCTCTCTCTCTCTCTCTCTCTCTCTCTCTCTCTCTCTCGCCTTGTGTGTACAATATTTTTCTTCCTCTCAGCCTTTCGTCTCTCTCTCTCTTTCTCGCTCCCAAGTTTTCTCTTTGTATCGCCCTTTCTCTACTTGTCTCAAGTTGACACTCTCAACTGTCACTCAACTTTTTTTTCACTACAGAATTGTATTATCGGCTAAGAATGTCAACGTCTGCGTATTGAGAAGTCACTTTGAGAAATTCATCTAATTCAAACAAACGCCTTGCAGAACATCGAGCAGACGAGAGGGTATGGAAGAGAGGGGTATGGAAGACAGAGTATGGAAGACAGAGTATGAAAGACAGAGTATGAAAGACAGAGTATGAAAGACAGAG